TGCTTGTCTTTAATTTAAGCATAACTTCTCTTTGGGTAAAGTGCACTTTTCAGGAAGACATTTAACAGTGATTTCAAGACAGTGGGATCCACTAAATCTTCTGTAGCTTTGTAGTTTTAAGTGCTCACGATGTTAATGACTTATTTCTTACCTGGGTGTAGCTGGTTTCAGCTCCAATCTCTACTTGCTTGCTCTGTTTCAGATTGAAATAATTCAGCACCTGTATCTTCCCCAGAAAAGTGCTTCACTTTACTTGTCACCTACTTCTTTTTTCTATGCAAGGCAGTTTCTTCAGCCTGCAAGTATTTTTGAAGCTTCTTTCCTCAAGCTTTCTGATTTCTAACGTTTTTGAAAAGCGCTTGGATGGGAACTGTGCACACTGTTCCAGCATCAGTCTCGTCATATCTGTAAACAGAGGTAAAATCACTTCTCTTAGGTCAGCAACTGCATGATCTGCCTTTGCAGCAGCTCCTCCCTGAGAGCTCAGGGTATGGATTGCATTCATTTTTCGCTTTGATCCCTAATTCCTTTCAAGAATCACTGGCATGTCAGGATGCAATCCCCATGCAGCAGCAATGACTTGCATTACCTATTCTGAGATCTGAGTGTTTGCATTTGGCTGTATTAAAATGCACTGTGGAGAAACAGAAACAGCCTACAGGGCACTCCAGGTTGCTCTATTTTACTTTGTCTTCAGCATTTTTTTCCACTCCTCTACACTTTTATAACTTTGCAGATGTTATCATCAATGGCTTTGTATTGAACCTTGATGCCTGTAAGATCTTTATAAAAACTTTTCTATTTAGCAGTGATTTCTCTATGATAACTTTTTTTTTCTTCTTTATTTTTTTAAATTTATTTTTATCCAACACTTGACAAATCCTTCACTTAGGGAAGTGTACACTATAATACTTCATTGTGGCTTTTTAAAAATCAGAATGTTGTGCTGCTAATTTAAATGATTTAAGAATACGAGGGAAATCCTTTATCAGCTAGAGGTAATAACTTGTCAGCGATTAAGTTTCACTCGAAGGAGTGTGATATTCCATGAAATTTTGCTAAGTGATGTCATTAGGCTTTCTTATCAGCTTTTCTGGAATTTTGTTGGGATGGATGTCAGTCTCACCATCCGGTGGTTAGCTGGGTGGTTATGTTTCCCTTCCCTGAGGATTATCACATAGCAACTGTCTTTCAGTCCTTTGGATTTCTCCAACGTTCAGAGATTCATTACGACTTAATGTCAGCAGTGATTAAAAGCATCTAACATAAGAAAGTGAATTATCTTGACCCACGTCTGCCCTTTGCTGGCAATTCTGTTCCTTTCAGTCCTACCTACCCGCCCCCCGAAGATTCTCAAGCTTGTAAAACCCTTCTCCTGCTGCTGGAGTGGTGGAAGGTTGCTGCTTTCAGTTCGAGTTCATCCTCCCTCAAACAGGGGGAGAGCGTGCCAGGACTCTGAAATCTTACAGATAGCAAGAGAAAGGAAAGATTGTTCTGAGCAGCTGAGTGCCCATCCCTGCAAGTTCTTCCCATCTCTCCTTCATACACGGGGCTGTTGGGCTTGCAGGGGAAGGAGCTGCCTGCTCCCTGGAGATGGGCCTTTCTGTCCCAGGGGTTGGAGAGCAGGGCTCCCAGACAATCAGAAGAGGGCACAGCCCAGGCAGGACCATGGATATGTGCTCTTCTCCAGTTCTTAAAATAAATGTTTTCTTGATTTATGGTTCTGCGCAGCTCAAGAACTTTAAGTGTTGTTCTCAGACCTATTTTTAGGACCATTAGCCATGGGGCTTCTGACTTAGTCTTCATTCCCATACATGCAATTCTCAAACTCATTTTGTCTGCATAATGCTATTGCATGAGTGGCAGTAGCAGAAGCACCTTTTGGCTGTACACATATCTATGGTTTTGTGTTCAGTTGCTGAAGCAGTGCTTCATTTGACGTTGCTGTGGTAACCCCTTGCCCTAATTCTGTAGAAAGTTCTTGCAGAAAGCCTGAAGAGTGCATGGTTTACTCTTAATTGATGCAAGTACATGATTCTTCTTCTTTTCAGATACTAGGAGTAAAACTGTTGAATGCTCTTACCTTTTATGCAGTTCTAACATGTAGCCATCTCCATCTAGCAAGCAGTCTACACACTTTTGTTCATAATATTCTTCTAAAAAGCACACTGTCTTTTCTCTTTCGCACTGCAATTCGTGAATTTTCCTTTGGACCTTTATCTTCCTTGACCAGTGTTTTACACCTCATAAATTCTAGCCCATATTGTTTGCTATTTATTTCCTGGTTTTCAGTTGTTTGAATACTGAGGTCTTTTAATTTATTTCTATTTGCCGTCACATATTCATCAACTGTACCAGAGTGAGTGTTAAAACAAAGCGGTCCTTTTGAGATACCTCATGAACTCTTAACTTTCAGTTTTCAGTTGACTTACACTGTCCAAGTCTTTCTCCTGCTTGTAATTTTCCTCATGAAGGCGAGAGAAGGGAAGTCTAGCATGTGACACTGTTTTGAAATATAACTATGAGTCACAGATTCATACTATGGACAGGAAGGTCTCAGAACACAAAAGTATTCTAATATAAAGAAAATACCTTTTAATGTAAGGTCTCACAAGAAACTGCAGCAATTCTTTTGGCATTTTCACACCATTTCAGCTTTCCACCAGAGCAGAAAACCCACCAGGGTAGATGAGATCTTAAAAATTGGCAGACTGTTGAAAAAATGAGCTTGTAGATTAGCCTTGACTAACAAGGTCTTTGAAGGTGGCAAGGAGGCTTTACCTAAGCACAGGCTGTAGGATAAACAAATTTCTTAACCTGGAGTAGTATTTATTGCACCGTATCCCTTCTGCCCCTCAGCCAGGCAGTTCATCCACCTAATTTCACATGAGCTTGTCCCAGTAGTAGTGAAAAAAACCTGCTTTGTGTGTTTCTGGAAGAACGCTATGCCTGACACTGCAGCAACTGGAAAATGAGTGGTCTTTCCACTTTACACTGTGCATCATTTTAGAATGCATCCTCAAGGGAAGAACAATTAATGGCTGTGGTTAGTTGTGTAATGGAATAAAAACAGAATGTGGATTTAGATGATTTTTACAAAGTAACTTAAGAGCTTTCTGTTGATACAATAACTGATTTTCCAGATCAGGGAAATATGGTAGACTTTTTATCTGAATTTAGCAAAGGATGCTGTGCTGCTGAGAACTAGTAGAGAATTGAAATTCTGGGGGAAGGAACTGGGTCAACACCACGTGCTGAAAGGAAAATGACTGATGAGGGAAACTCCAAGCAGAGCTCCTCAACTATCAGCCTGGAGACAATAATATTTTTACTAAGAAATTTCGTGTATAAGCCAGGAGTGTACCAATAAACTTAGTTGCTTATGCCATCAATACAGAAGATAAAATCCTCACATAACAAAAATGAACAGGAAATTAATTGTATGAATGGGATGGCCAGGCACTTTGGCACTGAAATGTGTATTTTCTCCATAAACCGTGCCTTGATTTGTTGGAAGTTCTACATGAACATGGAGAACTGTGCATATTAGGTGAGCACAGGTTGACTTTGAGCCACGAATTTTATAATGGCTATGAAAAAGGAAAATGTGGTCACCCAAGTATCAAGTGAGATAACTCCCATAAGGAATTAATGGTTTGTCAATACATATGTATATATGTACATTTGTGAAATACTTTCAGATTTTACTTCATATACTGTACATGATTATGTTTATCTGTGTTTTGGACAGACTGACTGAAATGAGAAAATAATGGCTCCTAAGATGATGGGAAAAATCTGTAACATTAGAGGGGAATAAAAGAGTTTGGGTTGTCCTAGAACAGAAAAAAAAAAAAGGCTGACTTAAGGTATGACTGATATTTAAAAATACACCAATGAGTAAACACAATGGAGGAGGAAGAGCTATTTAAACTAAAAGACAATGTTGGCAGAAGAACAAATGGGCATAAAATGACCATGAACAAAATTAAGCTGGAAAGCAAAAGGTTTCTAGTTATCAGAAAGCTGTCTTTCTGACAGTGTAAAGCAAAGCTCCTCTAAACAGTTTTAAAAAGATCAGTAAGTTTATGATTTATGATACGGCGTAGGTGACTTTGGTAGCATGGGATTTGATTCAGTGACATAGAATTTTCCCTTAATTTTACATCTTACGCAAAGCAGCAAATGCTCTTCAGATACAACACGCACCCATGGCTGAACAGCACACAGCAGGACTAAAAGACGTCAGACAGAAAATCAAGAGACTTCGATATTCAGCTGGTCTCCAGAAACTCCAAACAGACTAAATGCAAAAACTTGTTTCAGAGCTCGATCTCTCTTGAGGCTAATGTGCTCAAACAGAGCAATAATAAGGCTAAGCTGTGTCTGAAAACTGTCACCTCCACCAGCACTGTCTTGGACCCTGGTGCTAACCACAATACTGTGTGTCACTTCTTGAGCTACTGACAGACACAATTTCAGTCTTTAAAAATGAGGATGTGAGGAGGTGGAAAAATGCTGCTTTGAATAATTGCATCCTACTTATCACAGTGTTTGTAATGGAAGACAATATTCCCTGTGTATTTAAAAAAAAGCTGTGAAATCCTCCCTGCAGATGATGATGGGTAGTATTGTTCATTCTTATTTGTTTAGCTGAATTAAAAAATTAACCTAGAAGGAGAAGAAAATAATTTGGATATCGAGTAAACAGGATGTATCTTATACCCATTTTTATACCCTGTATTGTATGCTTAATTTGAAAAAATGAAAATGGAATATAAACATCAATATTCTAATAATATTAAGGTAGGAAATTGGAATAAGCCTTAAGCTTCTATCTTAACTAATGCCACTGTGTTTTTTAGTGTTGTTGAATGCCACACTCAAGGAACATTTTTCTCCGTTGAACTTTCTCAGTGCTGTCATTTTGTACAGAGGTATGAAACACAGAAACCCCTAAACTAAGAAACCTATTCCTTTTGTTTTTCAGCATCACAACAATGATTCCTCCAGGGGAATGCCTATATGCTGGGAGGAAAAGGAGGAAACCCATTCAGAAACAGTTAAGTATCATATTCATCAGGAGGCATCTCCCTCTGAGTGTATGTGCTAGAAATCAGGTAGAAGAAGAAGTCCTTTCCTTCGGTCTGCTGACACAGGAGAAGCCTCATCTCTTTCTCTGCAGGGAGAAAGCCCTGGTCAGGAGGCTGGCTCTGCATGGTTGACCCCGGCTCTAGCAAGGATGCTGAGGATGGGTCAAACCGTCCTTACCCATCACTAGGTGTCTGTCATGGTCTGGGCCCAACAAGACAACAGAGGAACAGCCCCACGGCCACTCACTCAATTCCCCCCACGCACACACTCTGGGATGAGGAGGACAGAGCTCATGGGCTGAGACAAGGAGGGATCTTCACTGATTAAGGTCCCGGGCAAAACAGACTCAACTTGGGGAAAAAAAGAGTTTAATTTCACATTAATCAAACACACCCAGGACACAGACACACACAGGGCAGGGCTTGCATATGTTACCCCACCCCTTCTTCCCTAGCCCAAATCCCTTTGTTTCCAGTTTCTCTCCCTCCTTCCCCCCAGCAGCACAGGGGAACAGGGGATGGGGTTTGGAGTCAGTCCACAGGTTCCTGCTGCTCCTTCCTCCTCAGGAAGAAGGATTCCTTACAGTCCTTCTTCCCTGCTTCCCCATGGGGTCCCTCCCATGGTAGAGAGTCCTCCACGAACCTCTCCTTCCTGAGTCCTTCCCACGAGGTCCGGAGCTGCTCCAGCCTGGGCTGCCCACGGAGCCAGGGGCTGCTTTGGGAACATCCAACTCCCCTGGCACCAGGGTCTTCCACAGCTGCACAATCTGAGTCCACAAGCAGCAAATCCTCTGGCCACAACATCCAAGTCCCGTGGCCAAGTTCACCCCTCCTGGCACCTTCAGGGAATGTTCCACCATGTTCCTCCACGAGTGCAGGGGCACAGCTGCCATCTCGCCATGGGCTGCAGGGAAACTTCTGCTTGGGCACCTTCTGCCCCTTCTTCCTCACCAACCACCAGCACTGCTCTCCACCAGTACTGCTCTCCTCCTCCAGCATAGCTCTTCTCCCCTCTAGTGCTTCTCTGCTCAGGTGTTATCTCAGTTCTTTCATATATTAATCGCAGAGGAGCATCTATTGTCCCTCTAATGGCTCCTTAGCTGGGTTTGGAGCAGAGGGAGCTTCTCAGCTTCTTACTGGAGCCACCCCTGGGGCCCTTCCCCCGCTACCAAAAACCCACCAAACCAGAACAGTGTCCCAGGAGGAGGCCAGTGGTGGCTGTGGTGTGTGCCCCAGGGTACTGCAAGTACCCTGCCACAAGCAGGGGGAAGGGGCAGCAGTGTTCCATAGGCAGAAGACACTGGCTGACTGGATGTCAACCGGGCAATGGGTTGGAGGGGTGGCAGCCACCTCAACACTTCTGTGTTCCCCATGGCCTGTTCCAGGAGCCTTTTGAGAAGCTGTGTGTCACTGGCACCAGTGCACTGGTATCCCACTCCCCCCTTCCCCCTTCCTTGCCTTAGCCTTGCTTGGGGCATCACTAAGGCCAACGTGTGAGTCCGGAAAGTGGGTCAGTTCAGCCAACTGAAAAAGCAGACTGGTGACTCACTTTTTGCATAAAGAACACATCGTTTTCAAACCACTATTTACTATGGGATCACTTTCATTAGGAGAAAAATAAGAGAGAGGAATTGCGTGTGTGGAGGCAAAGCAAAAAAACCCCCCAAAACCCACAAAAAAAAGAAGCAGGAAGGTGTTACTGCAAGGTGCTTGAAATGGGAGGGAAAAAGGGTTGCTATCACTTAAATGTAAAATGATTTCCAGATGTCATAGACCACGCTGTGAAATGAAGCTTCTTAATATAATAATTCCACATCTTCTGTGTTAAGCTTGAATATATATATATAATAACCATATATATATGGTTATGAAACACACATTTTTACTGTGTTAAAATGATGAACTAGCACTGGTGGCCTTCACAGACAATTTAAGGATGGGAAGGTAACTAAAATAGATTTTGCTATTTTCAGTTGTTCAGAACTTCTAAAAATAACCCACTTGGCTTGAAGTTGTATATATTGGTCTAAAGTCAGGGGAGTTTGAATATTTGAGTGAAATCTGTTGATTTTGTGTGGATTTTGGAGAGTATTTGCACATGAACCACTTGTTTCTACTTAACAAAAATATTTCTTTTAGAGTAAAATATATCATAGGTGATAATTTCAGTAGATAAAGATAATGACATAAGAAAATTATTTTTCCTGCATAACCTGGGTGTTAAATCCAAAATGTATGTAACATTTCTGCACTAATGTTCATGTATGGATATGGATATTTAATTTTATAACTGCATGAGTTATGGAACTGCTCCAGTACATGAAATTACCTCTGTGCAAAACTGTTCATGAATCTTAACTTTTGTGAGAAAGGAAGGAGAGATGGAGTTGCTTTGAGAAACATTGAGCTTCATGTTTGGAGTGCATATGCTAGCTAGAAGAACTCTCAGGGATGACTTCTGGATAAATGCAATGGTTAAGAAAACTACTTGTTAACAAAGGATGTAAGTGACCTCAGGAGTCCTTTATGAAATTTGGTCTTTAACAAAACCAGAGGCAAATTCTCACTGAATTGGATGCAGCCAAGTTTTCACCTTGTGAGTCATCACCAGTAATGCTGCCTTGAAAAGAGCTTTGGTATGAGATTGCAGTACAGATACCTGAGCATGAGCTTACCCAGCCAGGACATTGACAATTTTTATCAAGAATTTTGGTTTTGGTTAAAAGCAAGAGAATCATACGTTTTGGATTATTACACTATAGTGCTCCCGCACAGGAGACTGCCCTCTGTTTTTTGGGCTGGGTACTTACCACTTGCTGAGGATGATTTCTCAGTTCCTAGCAACCCTGGTCTCTTCCTCAAACCTTATCTGTTTGTGGGCTTGGTCTTTGGTAAGCATTTCCTGTGCTCATTATCTTACTCAGGGACTTCTTAACTCTCATCTAAAGAAGCTCTGTCCTTCAGTCCTGCAGACCTTACTGGTATTTCAGGACTCTGAGATATCCTTACTGTTATGCTGCCTCAATCATTTAACTTGAATTTAGAAGGGCAGACAGAGCCTATTAATTGAATACTACATTTAACCATGGTTTTGATCCATGTCATACCATTTCTGTTACAGCTTTTTTCTCTTTTTTGACAGCATAACACTTTTTCCTCCATGGCCTTGTTCTACTTTTTGACCTGTCATTCTGGTAATGAACCATGGTAGCTGCTGCCACCTGTTCTGGGAAAGGTATTTGTTCAGCTGAAAAACCTAATTTTTCACAGGAAAAATAAGTTGATGGGCATTTGTTGGCCAGTCCTAATAATGATCCCTCACTTTTTTCCAGCAATAGCCTCTAGATATTTAACTTTCTCTTGACAAAGGAATAAGTGAGCTGAGGTGACAACCTGAGCAGGATACTTGGATTTCTGTAGGGATTAATGAATTGGTCCTTTTGAAGGCCTGGATTCAAAGGACAGAGTAGCAGTTTTACCCTTTGTGGAACAACTGGGATGTTCATGTCTGCTCGTATTCATTGCATCCCAGCTCTCTGCCTCTCCATCAGCTTTTTGTGATCAGACTGTCAAGCCAGGTCATGATCCTGCAGATGGCTTTTAATTCAGGATGTCACAGAATGACATTGCTCACCACTTCCATGGTTTGTCAGGCACAGGAACTCTGTTCTGAGGTAGCTTTACGGAATAGTGATGAAAATGTATGAAGAAGGTCCGTGGGAAAATGCAGAGACCCACAAGGCTGTGGAAGAATGTGTGGGAAAACTTATTTTACCAGGAAGACCTAATATATCTCGGTCTTCTTCTCTACACAGAACCAGGAGAGACTTCTTCAGTAGATTGCCATTCTTCAGAATATACATTGGGTTCAACTTTTACTTTTATATATGCAAATAAATGAAAAATCCTAGCTGTTTTCCCTTTGCCCCAGAAAGCTTCCAAGCATGCCCTGTTAAATGTGATCTAAACTAAAGCATTTTGGCTTTTATGGAACCAATTCAAACACCTGGAGCTCAGACTGATTGAAAAATTTCCATCACATATGCTTTTCAGCCAGAGAACTGGAGTTTTGAAGAAAGGAAATATTTTCTACCAAGTGTTTGTTTCCTGTGGAAATCTAACATTTTACTGGTAATTGTAGCATGTGAAAACTAAGGAGATCTTGTTTCTAACCTCAAACTAAAATCGCTGTGCTGAAATTAATACTTATAATGGAAATGCTAGGGCAAAGCTTGAGGACAGTTACCATTTGAGAGCTTCAGCCATTTCCTCGCCTCAAACCGCGGCATCTTGTAAAACTCTCTCCCACCACAAAATACATTTTGTAATGTTTTACAGCTCTTTTAGCTGCCCTAGCTCTGAGTGTATCTGTAACTGCTCCAAACTACCCACTTCAGCCAGAACCATATCAAGTGCTAGGGTAAACTGAGACTTGAGGAGGTGCAGCTCTCTCCTGCTTCCTAGCTTGTGTTTCAAGGCCCTCTGTGGCCTAGCCCTTCCTCTTACTTGGTACCACACTATCCCACCTCTCATCTGCTCTGCCAGTGCAATGTCTTCTCCATCATTAGTTCTGCTTTTGTCTTTCTTTGCTGTGAAGACCCAGAAGAGGCAGACAGTGGCGAAGGGCCCCCATCTCCTTCACACAGCTTTCTCTCAGTTGGTCCTTTTCACTCGTAGGAGCTGGTGCACATCTGCCTGTACACAGCTGGCACTGGAGCTTAGCTCTGCCAGGATACCTGTGCTCTCCCCCAGCACAGCTCAGTGGCTCCGGATGCTGGTCAGTGCCTTCATGATAATCATCTCGCTGCTCCTTTGCACTTAGCCTGTCCATTGCACCTCATGGTCCCTCACTTCTCTTCCCCTTCTTACAGAAAACTTCCTGTCATAGTAAAATACTAGATTTTTCTCATGTTAGATCAGCTGCTGGTTTAACACCTGATGTGGTAAACATAACAATAACCACAAGCAGCATGCTTCAGAAGCTGGTTCAGAGGGAACTTTTCCTTAGGAGGGCAGGGCACCCTCAGAGGGCAGCGGGCTGAGCTGTTGATGCAGGAAACCCCTCTGCGAGCTCACCGAGTGGGTTTGCACCCCTGGCCGCCTGTGTGCCAGGGACATGCTGAATCATGGCAGTCCAAAGGACTCCAGGCCTGACTTGCCCCCCCAAACAGAACATGTTCTCTGCACCTGCTCAGGTCCTACCAAATGGGATGCAGGTCTTGTACAGGTACAAGTACTTGTTACTGCAGAGCAGAGTTTGAACGGTTTAACTCCACGAAGAGGGAAATGCCAGCTTTATTCATGTAATTACATGTGCTGCTTCATTGTAATAGTGTTGTATGGAAGTCAGAGTAAAAGAGATGTCATAGAGTGAGTGCTACATCTCTGTTTAGACCTGATTTGCGCCGTTTGAGAATCCCTGATTTAACAAAACCACAACCGACACCATCAGCTTTCAGCTCAGAAGGGCTAGTTTCCATTTGCCTCAAAAGAATTTCCCTGCAGAATTTCCCTGCCTGCCTTCTTCTGTTTGTGAATGGCTACGCCAGCCTTTCCGTGGAACTTGCATTGTTTTAAATCGCATCCACTTGTCACCTAATTACCATTTACAAAAAACCCTTGCTAGTTTGGATTCACTCCCTCACTGAATCATTTCCTTGAGTTTTCAGGAAGACTCTGTCCCGAGCTTTATCCGTAATCTTTTTACACCATCCCTTGCAATCTCTAGAAAGCTGTTCCTTACACCCAGTAGAAATGCAGTCCACCTAGTTGCCTCAAACCATGACTTGCTGGCTTAGAGCTGTCACTATTTTATGTGGTTAAAAGGTTTGAACTATTTCTATTCCATGTTAGTCTTGACAATTTTATACCTTGAACTCATCAGTCTAATTTTCCTTATTGGAATTATTTTTTTCCAGCCTAAATTGCTTCCTTACTTCAGATGTGTTGTCAGATACAAAGAGCAATTAGTAAACAAGTTCCTTAGATTCTCCTGAACTATAGACTATATTCCCACAAAATTACTACTCTCCACAGGACAGACATCCTTTTGGTGTCCTGCTGAGGATGGCTGAGCTTCAGGGTTTACTCCAAAAAATAAGTGTATGTACACCCTTTTGTGAAAAACAGCTAACTCTGGAAAAGTAAAAAAAAAAAAAAAAAAGAGTACTCTTTCTTTATTGATTGCATTATTTGTTGCAAATGTGATTTCTCTAGCAGAGGAAAGTTCATCCCAGTCAACAAAATTTCCCCCATATCTTTAAAAGCAACTCGTGTTATTGAAGGGCCATGTACCAGTTTTGGTAATTTGGAATGAAAAAAGAGGAATTACATGTTTTCCTGCCTCATTTTTATATTTCCCCCCCCCATTAATTCTGTCCATCAGTGTTGTCCTGTAAAAATGAACTGATTTTTCTCCAAAATAGTGCTAAATTTTTTATACTTGATTTGGTTCAAGAGTATTGCAATTAGCAGCAAAGTCAGCAATAGCATGGACAAAACATTGACATTATTTACTAATTCCTAAGCACAGCGCTATATATTTTTTTAAAATTACTGTTACCCTGAGAAATTAAGATTGCATTTATCAGAGGGGAATAGGCAAATGTTGCAAATTAACCCTTTAACCACCTTGTGAAATACTAATGCTCAAAATGAATATGATGATTGAAAAATACCATAAACGTGTGGAGCATGGAAATACATTAGGAAAGGGCTGCAAATCATTAGTTTGACTCTGATTCTCCACTGGAGCACCAGCTCAGCTACACAAGATTATGGTCCTTGTCTTTATTTAGGTGAAAGTGGAAACTGCTAACACACCTGTATTTTCCTTGCCTACCATTTCCCATGAGTATTTTTCTGTCTTTTCCTCCTTTATTTTTCTCTTAGTGTCTCTTTTTCTGGAGAAGGTGCCAGCAATGTGCTACAGTAACAACTTTAACACAGACATTATGAAAGCAAGTGGAAGGCCTATAGACACTGCACTAAGTCCCTTTGGGAGATGATAACTCAGCTACAGAACCAAGATGCTGTACTCCCTCAGTGATCATGGATCTGTGTAGTTTACAGCTCGAGTGGACTGTGGCTTATTCCTGGATAATGCACTTTACTACTGTCAGGTCCTGCTGGAGATAACCAACCCCCTTCTCAAACTTGCCACTCAGGTCTTCTTGCTAGAAGTGACAAATCTGTCCTTCTTCACTGACCACCCTTACCTGCCACACTGGAAAGTTTCCATGGCTGTATGCAAGTGCAACAGCTTTTTCTTTTCTTTCATCTTGAGAACAGCATCTTACACATTCTGGGAGAAGAATGTCAGCAGACACCCCAAAACTGCACTTCCTCATTTTTGGTGTATTTTAATCTTAATGCATTTTCACAGTAGATTTTCTGAGGCATCTGATCCGGTTCAATGCATGAGAGGGATATGAAATGGGGATGGACTGGGATGTGCTTGGCTTAGAAGTCTGAGTCACATTGGTCTTTCTGTTTTTGGAAAGAATGCCAATGTTCTTAAGAGAAAAACCAAATTCTTGTCTTTGTTATTACTGTAGTAGAAAGGTAAATGTAGGAATGCTCATAGGAGTTTTGAGCTTGAAGAAAGAACGTCTCTTCATCTGGCTTCCTATATGTTTTAAAATCATGTCTGAAAACAGGCTCTTTTCTTAATTATCTCCTGACCCACAGGTTAACCTTGAGTCATTAAATGGAGGGCACTAAGATGCTTTGAATGAATACAGTGGATATTGAATGGGTTCGCGCATTAGTCACGGTAATTTTCCTCTAGTGTTCTGACCCTAATTTATACAGCATAGATGAGAAATCGTTTTTCCTGGTGTTCGCTAGAACATGAAGATAGTACCCATTCCCCTGGGGTGAGAGGGTCCTGAGTAAGAGATAGAAGTTCTTCACCTGTTTTTCACTGGACAGATGTGAGAAGAGCAGCCAATGTATTTGCACGATGTCAAGTGCAAAATGGTAAATCTTTTTGGCAGGGAACAGCAGCTTTAAAGATTTTAATAGGAATAGGTTAAATATACCTGTTATCAACTAATTGAAGACATAGTCACAGTCTCTGGCTGTACTATGTGGAGGTAAATCAGGTAATTGAAAATGTCTTCTCTACCACAGAAGGCCTGCGGTTGGGAATGAGAAATCAAATCCTTCCAAGAGACACAGGGACCGTCTGAACGCGGAACTGGATCACCTGGCCAGCCTCCTGCCTTTCCCACCTGACATCATATCCAAGCTGGACAAGCTTTCTGTCTTGCGCCTTAGTGTCAGCTATCTCCGGGTCAAAAGCTTTTTTCAAGGTAGGTCTCATGAAGATATCAATGTCCTGTTAAAAGTCTCAGCCTAATTAACCGCTGCTTTCTATGTGTCATGAGTAGAATTGACCTGCAGTGTGTTATTGATAAAGGGAAAAGAATTAAAAAGATCTAATCTCTACTGTTGAAAGTGTTTTGTGCACTGGGTGCTGTGTTGGAAATTCTGTGCATTTCCTTCTATGGCATTTCTAGGTTTTTTCACCAAATAATGGGATAACACCCACCCTTCAGGAAATGGGAAAACTTGGGTATAAAAACCCTAAACTGGTTTGGGGCAGATGTAATACCTGTAGTTACTTTGAACTCCATATTTGAAGCTGGTTTTGTGCATGTTTGCAATGTCTGTTTAAATACAACGCGAAAGTCAAGCTAGGACCATATTACCTGTGTTTGCCTTAAGCCAAGAGGAAATGGGCTGGCTTGAAAGGGCAAAGAGATCACTTTCTTTCAGGATAAGTGAGATCTGAAGTTTTAAGTGTTGACTAAAGCTGCAATAGGCCGTGCTTTGTTTTTGTAGCTGTCTGGCACTTGGCATAGTGAAAGCCAAATGTGCATGTTCAGATAGACATAATAAAGAATTCTTCCAAATTTGAAGACAATTTTAGTTTCTTCTGTTGTTGAAGAATTCACAAGAGAAAAATCTGGATTAGGGATTTAACAATTAAAATTCTCTCTAGAGTAACTAAAAAAAAATAAAGAAGAATAAAAGCATATTAGAAGGAATATAATTTACCAAAATTTATAGGTGGACTGCAGAGATTTTTTCAATGGACATTGTTTTTCCTTTACTGCTCTTTACTGCTCTGTGCTGTTACTATTCCTTATTATGCACAGTGTAGACAAGTGAGCCCTGTTTTTGTTTTGTTTTGACTGGAGAATGAGATATATTTGTTGGTTTCTTGCTTTTTAAAATATATTTTGATACAAAAGAAATGCCAGATTTTGAAGAGGCTTTGGCAGAGTGCAGGGCATTTTACAAGCTGACATCAGATTACAGATGATGATGTCACTGAGAGCAGGAGCCTCCCAACTGTGGCAGCTGGCTGCCCACCCTCCAGCATCCTGGAGTTTCCAGAGTACCTCCTTTTCCCTTTGAACCTGAGTCTCATGGCCCCTTCCTCTGAGCTTTACTTTAGTTTTCCATGGATTCACAAGCAATAGGCTGTCTTCAGCTGCCTTTGCTGCTCTTCTGTGGAGTTTCTAAGATGGGATAAAACGAAACCAAATAAAGCCAGACTTTGTGACTCTGAAAAGTTCCATGTTTCAAGAGATTTCATTTAATTTAATCCCCAAATTACCTAATTGAACACATAGTTTGTGTTCTCTTCATTCTTATTTTTAAATGTTTACATCATGAAACTAAGGTTACAGAAAGTGTTGTTTATAGTGAAGGAAGGAAACTACATGCCATTTTAAGACAACAGAACAGGCTGGAGCTTCAAAAGGGTGGAGTGGAACAGAGGTGAGCTGTGGAAACAGCTGGGTGAGGTATGGGTGCTGGTGTTTGGGTAAGAGCAGGAGCTGCAGCCTCAGCTTCATGGCACATCATGATCTACTTCCTTGTCATTGAGGAGAAAACAGGCGGAATCTGATTTCTTTAAACAACAAAAACTTTGGTAGGAAGAAGTCACCTAAAAAAAGCCAACAAAAAATATCCATCCCAGTGTTTCCATTCCTGTTGTGTTGAAAGAGGACAGAAGAGCAGAAATGGCATGTCTGTGGCTTTTTACATCAAAGGATGATATGAAGTTGTGAGCTGCTATAAACACTGAGAGGACAGAGAACAGAGCAGTGGCATACAGAGATGTTACAAAATTGGATAGAATGCAATGTATCTGGAAAAAATGACCCTGCAAATCTGTACTAATTCACTCAGGGAAAATTAATCCGAAGGAACTGGTGTTTAGTAGAAGAGATAAACCTAGAAAAGAGAACATAAAAACAATAATTGAAGAGGGACAGTGATCAGCACATTGTTCTATGCTTGTAATATGATATGTTGACATAAACAAGAAAGCCAAGTGTGGATTTTGTTCTGTTTGCCCAAAGGCAGCATGTCACTACACAGGAAGGTTATAATCCCTCTGTGCATGAGACCAGCATGACTCCATCTGGAATACAGCTGTCTCTTGTGGGCATCTCCTGATCATGAGGGCATTCGTACATATTAAGGAGTTTGGAATCAACACAGGCAAGAAGTGCCTATAAAGTTGGATGGACAAAAAAAAACCCAAAACAACAACAAAAAAACAAGTGAGATTAGCTTGAATGCATACAATTTATGTGCTTTGCCTGTTTGTCTTCATAGGAGAGAAGGATGAGAAGGGAAGGAGTTGCTTAGGATATTTTGGGGTGGCACAGTGTAGGGCCCAAAGAATGAAGCAAGCTGAAATCTGGCTTGATTATCAAGCAAAATGTATCTATAATGAGGTCTATTCAGACATTCAATATTCCTAAATCTGATGCAGTGGAGATTCAGGACAATCAAGTTTGTAATCTGGGACACACAGGCATGTGCATCTTTTATTTAAAATACTGTTCCGTGAGTTTTAAGGAAGTTAAGTTTAAATTTCATGTTCTATAAAGTGCTCTTAAGAATGCTGTTGGCAATTTTTTAAAAAACATGAATAACTCTATCTGACACATAAGTTCACATGTGACATTGCAGATTCAACCCATAACAGTTCTGCAGTTCCTATGACAATTACAATTACACATCTTCAACAGTCCTAGTGGTTTCTAGACATACTCGTCCACTTGCCACTAGGTGTCCTTTCAGTAGCTACTCTGCAATACTCAGTGTGCACAAATGTATTTATAAAGATCAATAGCCAATTAAAGGGCATGGAGTGACTTCACCATATTGATCTCAAGTATGACAATAATTTGGCAGAGAATTAGGTTTAAGGGATCGAGAATATTCTTCAGTCATTTATTCCCTTTTTGGTGATCTTTGCAGGTGAGTACCTTGAAGCTAATGTCCGTCTTAGTTAAGCTGTTTAGGCAGAGGCCTGGTTCTTTTCTAAAATTTAGATCTGTTTATTGAGACTGATTTTCCTACTATTTAGTTTAACAGTGACTACGGTGGATTCCCTCATTCATTCTTATAATTGTTTTCCTTTGGCTTCAGAACAAATCTTCTGTCTACTTGGTTTACAGTCTTCCTATCCCTGTTACCAGTTGGCAGTGGCTCTATTAATAGCCCCACTCCCCAGAAGCTATATGCATTTAGTCATTTTGCATTTTCCTGATAAGCACTTTGAAATGGCTTGCAGCAGTAACCTCCCAGTCTCACCAGATCTCTTGTATAAAGCAGGACAGATCTGAACCAGTGCTGAGACTGAGAGACATCGTGCTGGTTTTGGCTGGGAGAGAGTTGCTTTTCTTCATGGTAGCTGGTACAGGGCTGTGCTTTGGATTTGTGCTGAAAACAGTGTTAATAACACAGAGATGTTTTAGTTACTGCTGAGCAGTGCTCCCCCAGAGCCAAGGCCTTTTCTGCTTCCCACACCTTCCCACCAGAGGGGAGTCTGCGGGGGCACAAGAAGCTGGGAGAGGGCACAGCCGGGTTATATCCCAAATATATTATAACCCCCTCCATGTGACATCATGTTCAGCATATAAAGCTGGGGAAGAAGAAGGAAAAAGGGGGAATGTTTGGAGTGATAGTGTTTGTTTTCTCAAGTCACCGTTATGTATGGTGGAGCCTGGCTGTCCTGGGGATGGCTGAGCACTGGTCTGCCCATGGGAAACAGTCAATTAATTCCTCGGTTTGCCTGTGTGCGTGGCTTTTCCTTTACCATTAATCTGTCTTTATATCAACCTACAAGTTTTCTCGCTTTCACCGTTCTGATTCTCTCCCCCAGCCCACAGTGGGGCAGTGAGTGAGCAGCTGTGTGGGGCTTAGTTGCTGGCTGGGGTTAAACCACCACAGACATCAGCTGCTAAAGGAAGCTGTGCCCCTCATTTGGCCCTGACAGAAATTTGCCTTGGGTGGGGCTCCCATGGAAGTGGAGTGATACTTAGTGGCTGTGAGCACTTGAGCTTGCTGGGCCTCTGTCTTGGCCATATTCCATCTTGGTTAATTGTAGTTTGTCTTCCTTTATCACTCTTGACAATACATCCTTTTGCACTTCTTATTTCTCAGTTTTTTCCACTGGTGGAAAAATGGTGGTCTTGAGCCACTTCAAAAACAGCTCCCTTTTGTTGATTGTTTAAATTGTTCCCTTCTAGTATAGGTATTAATTTTGTACTTTAATGTAAAAAGAATAGCACCTTGTTCTTTTAGCATCTCAGATCGTTTCTGAGCAACAGCCAACTTAAGCTTCTCACAACATGTAAAGAAAATATGACAATTTAGATGGACCAATACAGTTACAAATAGGGATTAAAGCTCTTAATCTTTTGATTCCTAATTGCAGGATCACAGAATGGTTTGGGTTGGAAGGGATAATAAAGATCATCTAGTTGCAACCCCTCTGCCATGGACAGGGTTAATATAAAAACTTTCCTCAGATTATGGCTTTTTAAGTAATCTTGGCCCCCTCTCCAACAAGATTCTTCAGTTTACTTGGGAAAACATTATGAGACAGTTGAAATAGCCTTTTAGAGTTATCAAGACATGTCCTCTGAGATTTTGCCTTCCAGTTCTCCAGATGTATAAACTCTCCCTTCTTTAGGTCCAGTGTCTTGGGATGCCTTGGATTGCTGCTGCTGGAAGAACCATTGCTTCTGGGGTTTCCTGGTCACTTTCACCAAGCTGCTCTCCCTCCTTCTAACTCATTTCTCTCATTCAATGAAATATCTTTTACATATATATATATATATATATTTTTTTTTTCAGTTCTGGCAGGATAGCACATACTATGTGGTTTGTGTCTTTCTTATGATTTAGCATTTATATTAGTGGGTCACTTCCTTTTACTCATTTATGTGTTTGGTGTCATCCAATTCCCACTGATGTTTATCTTCAATGGAAATTGGAT